ACCACGATGGTGATTGTGACAAGAAGAGGAAAACAGACAAATCATTACATGTAATCACCGGGTGTCTTTAGTGTTCACAGTTTCTTTTCAAATCTCACTCGAGGAGAGAGGTTTTCCTCAGGCATGTGTCTGTGTGTGTTCCTGTTTCTTGTATTTGTGGGTTGCATCTCCCTTTCCTGCCGTTTTAGTGAAGGCGGGAAGCTCGTCCTCAAGGCGAAAGTGTTACTTCGTCAGACTGCAGACAGTCGTGTTCAGATTCCCTCTTCTACTTCAACACATTTTCCGTGAAGAGCCCACACCAACACACCCACAGAGATCCGAGGGAGTTGCTGTTGGAGCCAAGAGAAGCCGCTTAACGGATTGCCAGGAACCGCCTGCCATTTTCCTCCTGAAATTAGATCTCTCTGCTCATCTCTTACTACTGCATGGGTTTCTGCAGGACGTGGTGTGACCTTGATCATCACCTGATTCTCTCGACTTGTTCTCTCCCGAGCTGCTTCTCTGTCCCTCTCTTAGAGGTGCTAATCAACTGCAGTTACATTTTGTTTAGTCAGGTCCCAGCTTTAGCGTCTTTCTTTTCTTTCCTTTGTTTTTACAAGGAAAGTAATGTTCACCTGATATAAAACTTCCACTAATGTGTAACTAAATCACTCTCTGCCCCCTAGATTATGTTTACCAACAGGAAAAGTAACCTTCACCTGCACACAGTGAATTCCTTTTCTCCCTTCTCCCCAGTGCCTAGCAGCCCATCTTCTGTTTAGGAGTGCTGGAGAGTTCCCTGTTCCAGATGCTCTTATAAGTGAATCTCATAAAACACACTGCTTTTGGTGTACAACTGTTTCTCGTTTATTTAATATCTTCAAGGCTCATCTGTGCTACAGACTGTATCAAGAAATTAAATCACTTTAACATCTTAAACACAGCTGCTCCCGCAAAGAGGAAGCATCACCTCTCCACCAGCACATCCTGGTTCACACCCCGAGCTCCTATAGCTACATAGATGTTCCAGAACCGCAGTCTGAAGTTGAGAATATTTGAGCTCCTTCAGTCCTATGTTACTGCAAATAATACCAAGGTTAATTGATTGTGTGTGTTTGTCTTTCGGTTGGCAGGGCCTCTACATCACTTGGGTATAAGTTCAGGCGTGGAATTTGGGGCTCATAAGATTTCTATAATCTTATTATTCTATACATCGGTATAACTGTGTTTCATTGTTTTTAACACTGAGCACTGAAGCAGTGCTTCTGCACTGAGATATATTCACATTCTCCCCAATGCTCTTTTCTGAGACAGAGTCTTGCAAAGTCATTAAGTTACCCAGGGCTGTACTCAGATTGAAGTCCTCCTGCCTCAGCCTCCTAAATGGCTGGATTTACAAGTGTGTGCCATTTGGGGCAGATGTTTTCATACAATTTACTGAGTAGAAAGCCAGTTCTGTTTTCTAATAACAGTGGTTGTTTCATAACCTCAGCAGTGTTACTGTAACACACAATTTTATCGTGAGTTTTCTGTAGGTCAGTCATAGGATAGCCTTGAAGCTTAGTTATCTGATTAAGTAATAGTAATAAAATGGGGCATGGAGGAGGCACTGATTAAATTCTGGTTGTGAAGACATCCACTATTGTGGTCACAGTTAACAAGACCTGACCTTGTGAGACTCTTACTCCCCAGCCAACTGTTGCCACCATTACTCCTGTCACCCTTATTCAGAACAGGCTGAAGATGTAGGACAGCCTGTGGTGTGCAGGAGAAGCTCCTCTTGCTTTACAGTGGGGCAGGGCTGACTGAGCAGGGAATCAAACTTCTGCGAGTTCAGAGACAGAAATGCCTTCTGGAAGTTAGCTTAAAACAGTGTGGGCTCATTGTCCTTTTCACAGAGAGAACCCCAGTTCCCTGTAAGATTCACTTTATACATCCAGAGACCCAGAGTGGCACGGAGCACTTCCTCCCTGATGTGCTTGCAGCAAGAATGTCACCCAGGGAAGACCTTTACTGCACCTGCCGTGAATGCAGAATCCCCTGCTCACCGAGGCACTGAACGCCATGGGCATTGTGATCAGCATCCTTATATGACCAATCACCACTATGGATCTACTCTCTGCGCCACACATATCATCGAGTACGCTGTGTTTGGTTACACATTATCACACGCAATCTGTGTCACGCTTCTCTCCTGGAATTTCAGTAACACACATGAAGGAAAGAGCTGAGATACAGGTTCCTGATGATGATGTTCCTTCACTGGACCTGTGTAGTAATATTATACTATGTGGACATTAATGTTTGTTATCTGTCATTGGTGGATGTGTGAGGAGGAAGTGATTTAAAGCTACAAAAAGATAAAGGTTGGTATTTAATAAGCAATCCAGCAGAGGTGGATCCATTAGATTCTAGCTCTTCTAACAGCCAGAATTGACTGGTTCCATTGCCATAGCTCCCTAGCTCACGCCAGACTCCATAGCTGTGGTACTGTTACACACACACACACACACACACACACACACACACACACACACACTGGACTCTGGCCCCTCACTGTTCAGTGAAGCCTCCTGCATTGTATACCTTTACCAATGAAGAGGTGGGGGATTACGCCTGGGCATTGGTGCTCTGAATCCCAGCTGCTTGCCCTGCACATGTGCCCAGGATTCCAACCTCAGCCCCATGACTACTCCATGGGAGCCACAAACAACACGCATCAGAGTTATTACCATCATGCATATGCACATACGCTGGACCCAGTGCCAAAGAGAGCCCCTTGACAATGACTGCACAAGTGAGAAGAAAGAAGACTGTGAGACCAACCTGCAGGGAACTCGGCCCCTGAACAATTCGTGA